CATGATGACACCGGTAACATGATTAGATTTCACTCTTTCTAGCTGATTGCGATTCTAGCATTCCAGGGTGTTTGGTGGATGCTCTGAGTGCTGAAACCTATAGAAGAGCTCAAAAGCGATAGCCGGAATGGTTTTCCGCACATACTTCCGCTTCTTCCGACTTCTCTGGGAGAGAAAGCACAGAAATTCGCATCAGACTTTCAAAAACCAAACTGTTTTGCCTTTCAAAAATGCAAACCGGTTGCATCACCTAAACTGTGATCCATTCGCTTGATAATCGAAGTCAGTCCATTTACACATATTGCACTTCGGCGCCAACCGAACAACAAATTATTTACTACTACGTTAAAATGCGGGTAGAAACCGCGATACAAAACGACTAGTGAACTTTCATCTACTTTCTATTTTCGTCCTGACTTAGAGCTCAAAGACGGTTCCTTTTTTTGATCGACAAGGACATGCGAAGTTTGTCGATTCCAGTCTAAGCAGTCCTTTGACCATGTCTTAGGGTCATCATTCGTGGTGCGTTTCGCGCCGAAGGCTTCCCTTTTCAATATCCTTATACCCTTGAATGGGCTTTATCCGCTAATCTATTGGATTGCAGACGATGGACTCGAAAGGAATTCGGAACAAGAAGGAAATCGAGAACACTCTCTCAACATCAGTTTTGGATTCTTTCCATTTGTAAGCGGATGCTCCGAAGGGGTCCAAATTGTACCTTTGGAGTAATCTTTGAACCTCAGCAAAACCCTCTTCAAAATGTTCTTCACCCTATAAAATGTTCTTCAGGTTCTGATGAGCTTTGGTGCCTTTCTCGACAAAAAGGTGCAACATTGATCTGATGGCAAAGAGCCCGAACCAAAAATGGAAAATGACTATGAGAAACGATTTGACCGTTCTCAGGCTTAGTGGGGAACGCGTGTGTACTCTGATATCTGAACAACTCTTCAACGCAGAACATCTCCTCGGCAATGAAAAGTGTGTAGGCGCGTGCTAGTACCAACAAAGCACAACATTTGCGTTTACTCTTGAACTTATTCTCGTCAGAAGTTATAAAGGTTCTGAAACCTATGCACACAATTTATATGCTTTCAGAAAATTGTTCCCATCGACAGCAACTCTTTCCATCTTCACCACTGATTTCGATTCAACTTGCTTTAACAAGAAAAATCATCCTGAGAAAATGAGTCGTAAATGAGACAAGACGAACAGCCCGAGGCGTATCATGACCTGTTGACCCTGTTGACGTTTCGTTTTCGTGATTCAACTGGCGGTCGTACGAGAAACGTGGGAACGAGCTGAGCGACTTCGAAAAACGGCATACGAGGCGTGCATATCAAGAGATATGACCCAATCACATGGGCTCTGCAAAGATGAAGGAGATGTGGGAAAAATAATATTCGAAACGAGTGTTATAGTCATTTCCGGGGGAACTGAGGGTGAAATTGAAATGGCATTGTGTGAGGAACGAACTCTGCTTCACATTAGGTTTTCCAAAGAATTCCAAAAGACAGCTCTCTGCATGTGTAAAAGGATGAAAAATGATAACAAAGAAAGGCTTGAGCGTAACAGACACATATTGGTGGTCTCATCAACGGTAGTCGTGACTTGCCCGGTTCCGATCTCATATCTGATAGGGCCAAATTTTCATCACATAAGGAAAAAATAACAGATTGGAATGAAAAGATAGATAGGTCGAAGATTTTCTTTCACTCAACATACCGCTTATAGAAGCAATTCTCCTTGAGCGAGTCGTGTAAGGCCGCACCAATGCAATCGTAAGGACTACACGGACAGTCCGACTGAAATAACACATTTCACGACGATATTTTTCCTTAATAACAACGGACCACTAAAAGTAAATAACATAAGACCGCGCTACTAATGTTTCAGCAATTCGCCCTCTGCTAACGAATGAACATTCATGGCGACTTTCGTGTTCAGGATTTGCACAAGAGTAGTGCAAGTGGCACTCAAAATTTCGTTGAGGCTCAAAGGCACTGTTAACAAAAAAGTAAGGGTACCTTTTTTTTGACGGTAATAGGTAGAACTACTTCAGAATAAAGCGATAACAACGAAAAAGCGCAAAAAAACGAGCAACAAAAAGTATTACAAAGGGACAAAAAAAGTGCTAGAAAGTGGGGTTGGACATCTTTCACATTGGAAAACGGCGGTTAGGGAGTGTTCGAGCGAGAATGCATGAAGGCGACGCAGTGTCTGCAATACACACAACACATCGAATTTAACGGAGTTTCTTGAATAAAAAACATTTGCATGCAATAATCTACACAAAATATGTTAAAATCTTCAATAAATTTACGAGAATGGTTAAAGAATGCTACCGTAAAAAATTCTTAACAAAAAAAAACAATAGAAATACAAACATAAAATAGAAATAACAGTTGAATACTAGCTCCTGTACGAGGCGGTCGACCAGCTGATCATTCCTGGCTATTTGCCAATCTGCGTATCGATTTTTCACCAGCTTCGCTCCAGTGCGAACGTGGTGAATGACAATTTGAACACGTAGTCAGCCTAACGAGGGGCGGAGGCATCGCGTCCCCCACTGTTCCTGGCCTTATTGTGCCCTATCCAGCCGTTTTCCGACCTAATTCCTGCACAAATCTTATCAGAGGGGGCTCAGAATTCTAACCATGTGCATATCTTCGAAACCATTTAGTCGTTAACAGTGCCTTTAAGGCTTACGCCCATTATTACTTGGACTCCTCAGTAAACAAAGGCGTCTTGTTCAAGACTTGATCAATCCTTTTTCTAATCTGCTGGTGTAGCAACACCTATAAGTTGAGCACCCGCGATAGTCAACAAAGCTGTGAAAGTACATTCCGCTTCACAAGCACACCAGTTGGGCCACGCACGTTAACGTGTGCTCCACATGGAAACTACCGATTATTTACGACTTGTTAGAGTATCAATATGAACAGTATGTCTTCCCATTCCATAACTGATTCGCGCTCAGGTGACATACACACTCTTCATCTCGCCTACGTGCCCGTTGGAAGGACGCACAAACCGACCCACAGACAGACACGCAAAGTTACCGCTTTATATTAGGTTGTTCGGAAAAGAATGCGCGTTTGAGCCCAGAAAATTTTTTATTATAAAAACGAAACTAAACAGTATCAATTCAAAAGATATTCTTCATTACTATCAATGACTTGTTGCCTACGTTTACGCAAAGAATGAATTCTTCTTCTGAAGAACTCGGCCGGCTGCGACTCAAAGTAGTTGGACACCCTGAGTTGGAGTTTTTCGCGATTTTTGAGTTTTCTCTCGGCCAAGGAGTGCTGCACTGACCGGAACAAATGGTAATCGGATGGTGCGAGACCTGGGCCGTATGGCGGATGAGGCAGTACTTCCCAGCCCAACCCCTCATTTTTTTTCCAAGGTGGTTTTCGCAACATGTGGACGAGCGTTGTCGAGGAGGAATTTTGTCGACGTTGTTTCGACACCTGACGATGCAGTGCTTGATCTACGCGGTTCAGTTGACCTTCGTAAATGTCCGCCGTAACCGTTTGACCCGAATTCAGGACTTCAAACTACACTCAACCTTTGCTGTTCCACCAAACACAGAGCATCACCCTTCTGCCGTGTATATCCGGTTTCGGAGTGGAGTTTGGAGGGGGGGCGCGCGATTCACGCGCCAATATAATGAGGTCATCGGACAAAACCCGCTAAAACATCATTCCTACCATCATAACGGAAGTTATAAGAACTTATAAGTAGAATAAGTAAAGAAAAGACCAACTATGCACGTTTACAGATGGATTGCATTTACTAGGATCGAAAAAATTAAAGTTATTCTTATTTTGAACGTTTGACTAGTAAATTGTTGACCTATGAGGTGAATTCTCAGTCTCGAAGGGGCTTTTTTGCCATAGTAAAGAGATTTGCTCTATACATGGTGAAGCCGTGAACTACTGCAAATTTATTTGGTCCATCTCAACAGGAATGTACTGAAACGATGCTGCGTGCTCGATGACCTCATTATATTGGCGCGTGAATCGCACCACACCCGAGTTTGGAGTAACATCGGCGTCTAACCACTGTCTCTTTCGAGTTGTGTTGTCGAAGCAGATCCATTTTCCGTCTGATGTAATAACAGAGTTGAAAAAACCACTTTCTTAGGGCGATGAAAAAGAATTTCGGCCATCGCCACTCGAGTTGCCTGGTTTGCGTTGCTCAGCTGGTGCGGTACATATTTTCCGCACCTGTTCGTCTTTTCAATTGCCAGCAAATGTTCATGGATGGTAAACTTTGAGCAGCCAACATGTGTTGCCAGTTCTCAGGTGGTTTGGTGTGAATCGGATTTAGTGACGGTCTTCAACACTTGGTTATCGACGAATTGAGGCCGACTTCCATGTTCATCGTCCTCCTAGCTTTCATCACCGTTTTTGAAAGGCTGATACCAGCGTAGACACTGGCTTTCTGACAGGGCTTCTTTGCTGTATACTTCAGATATGGCATGATGAGATTCAGCAGCCGATTTTCCTAGCTTGAAGTTGTACCACATGCAAGCCTGCAGAAGGAATTTTTGGTCAAGCATCTTCAAAACTTTTTTTTTGCAGAAAAAACAAAGTAGGCATAGCCAAAAATATATCAAAAAATGTGCAATGAAAATCTCTTTCTAATAGACAAAACTGTTTTAAAAAATATCCTATAGTAGTGGAGAAATGAATGGACAAATTCAACGCGCATTCCTTTCCGAACAACCTAATATATAGAGTGATTATGGCAACAACGTCAAGGTCATTAATATAACACGTTTTAGTTGTAGATCCGATTAGTTCCGCTACAACTCTATCGGAACAAGGGAAAACGTAATCAATGACCTTCTTCGTCAACTCCATATATACGGTGCAGTCACATGGCTCATTATATAGCTAAAGACCAAGGTTTTACCAATTCGAAAGTCGTACCGACCTTAGTGACTGCCTTAGGGCTTTTTACCAGCCATAGACATTTACCATTTTCTGTTATCATCATAAGTTGTTGACAATCCCCTCAGACCCAACATTACATATCACCAACACATCCCAGTCATTACATGGGCGAAGATCATAGCGTTTATACGGCAGGTCTAATGGTCTGTCTGCTCCTTCCCTTATGAGCTCCTTATCGCGTTGCGTCAACTGCAGTAGCAATCCGTCACCAAACCAACCACCTATTGTCGTCGACAAACCATAGGACTCATGCTCACGAGGTAACAACAGCGGCTTCACAGCGAATACAAGGGGCGTAGCGAAATTATTGACTCCTACCATCTAAAGCGCTCATCAGCCTGGTCAGCTATTACTCCCAACCACCATCGTCAAAATGTTCATTCCGTAGTGTATTATAATAAAATTCAACAACCTAGGTCTGTAGCAGCTAAAATTGAATTTTCGATCAAACATACCCAGAATAAAACAAAAACACACAATTATGTGTATACCATTCGGATTGCTCGGCTTCGTTTTGAAAATCTGTTTAATCACACATCAAATCGATATCCTTCTTATACATATTATCCGCGAAGTGTGTTGTTGGTGTATTTGGATGTGTGTTAGTCTAATCGGCAATCCATAACTCATACTCTCGTCAACCAAAAGCGTTCAAAATCTGTGTGAGCATAGGTGGCAGGATATGACCAGACTCCGCACTTGAATCAGTTTACATGAACACATGAGTTGAGCAGATCTCCACTCATGATAGGCGAGACGCTTACGAAGGGTGTCGGTTCTGCATGTGCAAGTGCTTCATCGAAAATTTTTCATCCTGCTTTTTTACGAGAGAGTCTACATTAAGGGGGACTTAGGCGACATGGCATTTTTACAGGAGTAAAAGCAAGTGATTGGACTCTATTTATTATCTTTGATTGATCGATGTCTAAAAGGTTTTACAACGTAACTTGTAATGAATCTGAACCTTTAAGAGAGCCATGTTATGAATAGTTGACCAGTCACATCGATATTATCGTTACTGATTTATCAACTCGACCTACTTTACATGCAATTCTTACTATGCCATCATTACCCCCTGACGTCTGAAAGCTTCATGTCTGTAAGACGTTGAGCTATAGTTACCCAGACACACTCATTGTCTCTGGTTGGTTAGTGTCGATCTACACTACAGCGCAATTCACACTCGCTCGACACTCATGGAAACGGAACGTCAAATTCTCGAAGTGAGTACAACTGCGAATTCCCTATCAGTTGCAAAATAAAGAATAAGAAATTCAAGTATTGACCGATATCCGACATTCGAGTTCCAGTACAAAGTCAAAGTGATCAAAGTTAAGAGTAATGCCTACGACCAATCGATGATTATTTGCATCGATGGAATCACTCCTGCTTCAATTTCTCGGCGTTTCAACACACTAAGCTCCAAGGAGTTCACGGTTGATTACACAACGAATTGATAACTATGGTGCAGACTGACCGATTATTTTTGTACTGCAACTGCGATCACCTTAAAGCTACTGTTCGAGTGCGCAGCGGTTTGAACGCCCCCTATCCCTGATCTGCGAAAAGCGAAGACGTGGATAACGGCCAAGCACAGTACTAAAAGAACTTTTTGGAAGAACTGCCGATTACGGATCCGATCTTAACATTTTCAAGCATAGACAGAGGCTTTTCATCTAGGTTACGCCCATTTCCGTTGCATCCCACCAACCATGTAGATTTGCCACTTGCTCCTTTCAAGCCTCCTTCCACTTTCTTTCCCCAAAAACATGAAATGTTTATGTGGAACAGGTTTTTGGCACAGCCACGCCCATCGCGTCATTGGTGCCTAACCGCTTACCATGAAAAATTACATACTTAAGGTTGCTGGCCGCCGTCCACTTCATTCCGGATTCTGGAATGTTTCTAATAGATTTATGATATGAACGATGTTAGTTTTTGGCCTAAGCTCCGCCCTTCCTGGTATCCCCCATATGCCATGAAAATCCGATTTTTCTTACATTGCTAGACTCTGCTCCTATTCGTGAACTCTGGTGGTAAAACCGAGCACGATACTGAAATTTTCTTCGTGAGTTCCGTTCAGGTAACTGCCTGCCGACTCGAACTAAGCTGAGCCGTCATACGCATTTATGAATATAGAAGTGCGCAGTAAAGATAGCTCCGCCTGGCTGCACCCCCGCCCCCTCCCCTGCTTCCATGAACATTGACTTCTTCCCCCACTCTGGAGAAAATGTGTGCGTCCTCCTGCCGTGAACCACCATCACTACCCTTTCACCCTTACTCATTTTTTAGAATCTGCCAAGGGTCATGATGTAAACTTTTTCACTCGATAACACCCATTTCGCGCATGCCTCGAATACCGCAGGCAGAGTCTAATTTAGGTCATCTCATGCTTAAGTAGCCAGATCACGGTGTTCAAATGCATTTTCAAAATGGCGCCATGCAAGATGGTGACGGACAAACATACACCCATGCATAATACGGAAACACCGAGCTTGTTGTACATATAGTAGTGGTTCCTTGGTGTATGCCAGTTCTTAAGGTACCGATTCCTCCTAATTTTCTTTGTTGCATTGATCGAAGTTTAACAAGAGAGTCCTTGAGAAACTGGTCTTAAATTTACGAAACTATTAGGTCAATGCATAATTACTGCGGATTTTTTTTCAACAAATTTTATATAAATAAACGATACGAATACCGAACAAAACCATGTTCAAATAATTACTCCGGAACCTATCTACACATCTACATCACACATTGGTTCCCATTTGCTAGGCAGTAGGTTTTCTAAGGCAGACATGTTTCGATCCTTGGCCGCGATCCACAACTTGACATCAGCCTTTAAGACATCCATTTCGTCGCAAGCCAACTTTTCAACGAACCACTGACGTGATGATATACATATAGATGTTACTATCGGTTAATATGGCTGACTGTTCCATCACCGAAAAGATCGTTGAGATCGCGAAACGACGCCTGCCACCTTCAACCCTTCTCGAAGTAAGAGAGCATAATGTGATGAATATGAATGTAACTTCCAGATACGTTTCTGCTGAGGAAACCCGGGAAATCATTTTTATGAAAATCCCAAATCCCATAATCAAATGTATCGCGAGAAAAGAAGCCGCAAAAAATCCGCAATAGTTATGCATCAACCTAATATGTAGGAATCGCCGTAACCGGTACGTGTGTCTCGTTCTGTTTGTTCACTCACTGAATACATCTGCTTAAGTTTCCCAGTGCAGTGCTTAGTAGCCAAATAAAGAGATTGGCCTCTTGCACCGCCCACTTTAGTAAGTCTGCCTTCTGTGCAATCTTTTCTGATAATAAGTCCCGATGTGGTCTTTTCCCCTGGACTATGAAACACCCATTGGATACTTAAACTGAGTTACCTAATGTTCTTCAGAGCTTGGTGACAGAGCAAAGCATGTGATATTCACTAAGTAATGATGATGATTTTAGAACGTTTTTGAGCACAGTCGTGAATGCTCGATCCTAATTCCGTCACCTCTGTACACACCCCCATTCACTATGTAGATTCCTTTCCTCACTAGCCTCTATCTAGTTTTCTGCGCAGTAGAACGCTTTTGATATGATGCTGATTTTGGCTAATCCGTATCAGCTGATCACCGATTTCCTCTACCGGGTGCCAGCAGCGTCTCCATTCGCCCATATCGCGAGCTAGGATAGTCCCGCTCGTCGCCCTTGCTCGAGGAACACGAAGCATTTCGTACAACGTGTTTGGCCCACACGATCTTTGATTTTTGGCGTAAGCAACGATGTCCTTGATCGTCGTTCTTTGACGGGGCTTGAAACTTCATACATATTCCCCTCTGCACCAGCGTGTATAAAAGACTCCAACGTTGCCCTCCACACAGTGCGTCGAGTGATTTGTCGGCATGCTCATCCTGCTTCCGTAGAGGACAACTCTTTGAGGCGTACTTCATGGCAGGAAGGATTGCAGTGTAAAAAAGGTTAGCGCGGACGCAGACTTTGTTTGCCTTCTCACAATTCTTGGATGTTCGCGATTGCTTTCTACGCCGCGCATTTCCCTCTGCTTAACTACAGTGCTAGGACATTTATCATGTTGACTTTTCGATCTACATACACGTGGCTAGAACATACAGAGATGTTCGTTCAGCATAAGTGAAGCATCAGGTACCACTTCTTTCTCATAAATGTCCTAGTTAGGTTTACTGGCAGACGAAGCTTTCCGCAAGCATTGCCGAACATTATTTCTGCCTGCTCGATGTTCGGCGCTATTTGCACGATGCCATCTGCAAAAGGGAGATTATACCAGCAGCGCCATTCTACCTTCACTCTCATGTTTTCCACTTCAACTGAGCATGATGCTGCTGAGAGCGGCTACGAAACTTTTGGGCAAGACGAAATTGCTCTGCCAAGCCCCTTCCGTCACATTAGCAATGACTCCCTTATAGAAAGCACATGGTGGCCGCGAAGTGAGCGTTGAGCTCACAAAACTATTACGTTTTAAACTGAAACACTCATTTCGCCCAAGACTTCAACTCCTGCTACAGTCTTGACAGTATCAAAGGCCTTTTTTCAAATTGCCCACCATAATCCCATAGTCCATAATCCTACACTGTCGCGATACTCCGAAATGTCTTGCGCATTTCAAAGTGATCGATTGTGCTGAACCCTTTCTGGGGCCATAGTTGCTCGCATGGCTGTTTCTCGCTAAGCATTCTGCTAATCCTGTTGAGGTCGACGTTTCGGGTGAAGAGTTTGTAATTGACAGATAGAGGACAGAGTCATAGTTGTGAATATGGTCTAGATCGCTCTTCTTATTCAGCAACGTAATCTTGCTAGTTATCCACAACTGCATCGATACTTTGCCTTCCGACAGGAACCCAGGGAAGAGCCTAGCCAGCTTACGGTGGAATGCTCTCTTTTATACCCTAGTTGAATCATATCTGAACTGGGAGCCGTACGAATATTGATAGAATGATGGCACGTCGAGTTGCGGAAGAGCACTGAAAGAATGGCCGGTGGAAGGGACAGCCCAAAAGATCCGACTAGAAGTCGGAGTAGATATGCACTGCCCATCGAGATGCAGTAACCTTCTGTCAGGACGATGAAAGAAAGTCATCCTGGTCTTGTGATTGGCAAAGCCTCGGGGACCTCGTGAATGTTCTTCCCAGCCTCGGCTGCTTCGGGCAGAAATGGAGAGAAATGCTAGCCAACACTCTTCGAAATCAACTCTCACCAACTCACGTCACGCATCTAACAGGCCTCTATTCCCCTCCCCTCTTTTCTTCCTCCTCCCCCTCTCCTCCACCCCCCCCCCCCCCCCCCCCCCC